TCCAGCTCTGCTGCCCAGGGTGCTAGCTGGCGGGCCAGGTGACTTGCAAGCTGTGCTCAACTCCAAGGCTTCCTACCTGCTCCAGGGAGGTGACTGTGGAAGAACCAGACAGCCTCCAGCTCCTGACTAACGCTCATCCAACACTGTGGCACCAAGGATTACATGTGATTAACCCAGGAGTATGCTGTTCTGCAGAGAGGCAGCAATGAAACCTTCCAAACTCCAAGTCTCACAGCGTAATAGGAAAAGACAATAACAGAGGTGAGCCACAAAACTAAGGGTAGGGGCCAGGGAGATGGCTCAGTAGACTAAGCGCTTCCCTGGCAAGTGCAAAGGCCTGAGTTCAATCCCTGGTTCTGAAAAAAAAAAAAAAAAAAACAAACAACTAAGGGGAGGTGGGACCCTGAAGCCTTACTCATTCCTCCATTCCAGGTCACACAGATCCAGGTAAAAGCACTTCTCTAGTGAGTGAATTAATCAGTGACAAAGGTGTCTTTCAGCAAGGTCCACATCCAAGGGAAACAGGTGTATACTACTCAACAAGGAGGCTGGCTTAGACCTTCACGGATGCCTAAGCCCCAAGGAATCTGCCTTCCATATCAACCAAGGGCAGGTCATGGACCTGAGCCCCAGTGTGACTCATGAAGTGGCTAGGCTGATCCACACACCTGGCCAGCCATCTGCTGTGCCGCCGTGTGCTTCCACCAGTCCTAGACTACTCCTGTCTCCTCTAGCAGGCCAGGTTGGGTGCAGTGAGGTAGGAGGCACCAGGCTGGGAAGGTGCAAGCTGCAAACTGAAAGTAACCTAGCCCCAAAGGCATCCAGAGGTTCAAAAAAACGTGAAGGTGAACTACTTCACTTTCCTCTGTCAGATTCTTCTCTGATAAACACAAACCTTTGTTCCTCTGGAAATAAACCCTGTTTTGTTGTTGTTGTTGTTGTTTTTTGGTTTTTGGTTTTTTTTTTGCAGAACCAGGGATTGAACTCAGACCCTTGCACTTGCCAGGGAAGTGCTTATTCTACTGAGCCATCTCTCCAACCCCTAACCCCTGTTTTTAAAGAGGTATTTGATAGGTTTTTCCGACCCAGACCCACCACAGCAGAGAAAAGGCAGGAGGAAAAAGGGAAAGGGGCTTTATTATCTTTGAGGACAGAGAAAATCACAAAGATAAGGGATTCTCTGAATTGGAACAAAGGAAGGCTGAGGCTTTTATGGATGTTGTCAGGGGTGGAGTTTGAGCGGGATTTTTAGAAATACCTGAGAAGCTGATGGGGTCTTCCCTGAGGCAACAGGAAAAGTGAAAGGAGACTGTACTCTGGGCTGAATTGGAGAAGAGGGAAGGTGGTCTCTGGGAAGATAAGCTACTATTTTAAGGGCTTCAGCCATATTAGATGACCACTGTAATAATTTAGCAATTCATACTAGGGCTAGAATCTATCACTTTCCTTCCTTAATTTGGGGTGTCTGGCATTGTGTCCCAGCAACCAGGGAAAAGTAACTAAGACATGGGACATTGTAGCACATTCCTGTTCAAGGCCAACCTGGAAGCACAGCGAGACCACTTCCCTTCTCCCCAAAAAACACAAAATGACCCCAAGACTTCAGAAGCAACTAAACACTATAATCTTAAATGGCACTTGTTTTCCCACAAAGAATTGTAACGTTGTAGAGATATTTTAACTAATAACACACTCCTGTTTCTATTTTAAACATGGCATAAAGAAGATTCTTGACTGTGCTCTCAAAAAGACCAAAGGCCATTGGCAGATCTGGACTTCCCTTTAAAGTCATGCCTCAGAAACCTAACAAATACCAAAGTTCTCTCTCAGTTCTGCCTACACCAAGGCAAAGTTCCCCTTCTGGGTTGGGCCTGACTCTTAGTGTAGGTAACTAGGTAAAGTACCCAACTTTCCAATGCTAAGTGGAAAAAGCAGTTGAAATCCCCCCTACTTTTCTTTTTGCACTTATGCCAAGGAGCTATATCCCTGCCCCTTATTGGTTTGTCTTTTTGAGATAGTGTCTCACTGTGTAGTTCAAGCTGGCCTAGAACTCACAGCAATCCTCCTGCCTTGGCTTCCTGATTGCCCAGAATTACAAGAATGTGCCAATGCACCCAGCTGAAATCCCCCGCCGCTGCTTTTTAATGTATTTGGTGCAAGATCTCAATATGCAGCTTGGACTCCTAGTGATCCACCTGTCTTCAGCCTCCCCAGCACTGGGATCATAGGCGTGTGCCACCATGCCTGGTTTCAGTGGCCAGCTCAGCACTCTTGGGGGTGAGGCCACAGCACATGGTGCCAAGGATTGAACCCCAGTCCCTGCACTTGCCTAAGCAGGTGCTTAGTCCACTGAGCTATTTTGCTGGCCCTTCCCCCTTTTGTAAAGAAAAAGAACTTGAAAGAATTAAGCAAGTAGAATTCTTAGGGACTTGTCACAGTTTCTAGAATTAGTATTCAATACTAACTTAAACAATAATCACAATACCCTCTACAGTTACCACCCAAGCCCAGCTATCAGGCAGAAATAACTGAACTTATTCCCATGATCCTTGTATAGATGTCAGTTATGGGAAGAAAAGGGCTTCTGCAGGCCTGACTCCATCTTTCTCTCCTCTGATTTCCGCCATCACTTAGGCTACAAACACTGGGCGAAGGTTACAGGAGGCTGGAAAGTGCTGAAGAGGCTAAACTGCACTGGGGAGGAGACACTGAAGTGGAGTCACATATCAGCTTTAGGAAGAAGATCCTAAGGCACTTTCTTTATGCTGCTAGATGTAACTGTATTTGCATAAAGCCTAATAATTTCACATGCTTTGCTTATAGATAAACTTGTTTTCAATAATAAAATTCCCAAATGAACAAAAATATTGGGCAAGAAGTCTTTAGCTGGGCCAGGAACAGTGGCATACACCTATAATCTCAGCATTTGGAAAGCCTGAGGCATTATAGTGAGTTCAAAGTTAGCCTGGACTATAAAGAGACCCTACCCTATCTCAAGGGACAAAAAAGATCATTTCATGGTTAAAAAGTGCTAAAGGACAGGAAAGAGTGGCCTTGACTCTTTACATCTTAGGAGTTGAATTCCTAGTCACTTGGTCCTAAAATCCTGACTTAGGGTGATATGCAGTCTGCTTAGGGTAAATTCTCCCCAGAGAAAAAGACAAATAGGACTTGAAATGGACCAAGGAACCTCAGCTGCCCTGAGAAATACTTTTCAATTCCAACCCTATTTATTTCTCCAATTTTATTTATACCTCAGGGAAAATGGGAAAGAGGCACCTGGTAAGAGGATATCATTTTAATCTTAAGATGACCGTGAAGCCATCAGAGAAATCTTAATGTCTCCAGAAGCCTGTTTCATTTCAATAAGTACCATGGGATTGATATGAGGAAGATAATGCCACAAGTCCTGGTCATCTGCTTCTTCTCACTAAGCCACCACCTCCAGGAAGGAGGAAACAAGAGTCACTAAGGCTCTCTAGAAATTCCAGGTAGTATGAAAGAAAAATGACCTCTAACCATCTTAAGGGAGCTGAAGTAACCATGGTAGCCCCAGGCTTCCTCCCCTGGTAAGAAGTGCACCCAGCAACAAACCTGTGAAGCTAGGCTAAACAATCCCAAGGGTGACAAGATTACCTCTGGAACATCACAGCTTCCAGAAAAGACCAACAGCATGGCAGGCCACAGCCTCTCCCCTCTGGCTAGACACCAGCCTTGGAAAGAAGCTTCCATTGTTTTTCCTGTGCTGCCTCCCCACCAAACACCAGAAGTACAGGTGGTAGAGACAGGAAGAGGAAATTAGACTAAAAAGTAACCAGAGGTTCCTGCCTTTAGTAGAAACAGACCAAGAATTTGGCTTAGGTGTCTTCTGAAATTTTCAAAAGGAATATATTCTTATAAACTGAACTAGCTTCCAGAGCTTCTAAAGAAGTGTTAGTCTGGGGGAAGCAGGGTATGGTGGCGCATGCCTTAATCCTAGCACTCAGGAAGCTGAGGCAGGACATGCTACACAGTGAGTTCAAGGCCAGCCTAAACTACACAGCAAGACCCTGTCTAAAAAATAAAAAAAAAAAAAAAAGTTATAGTACCTCAGGGATAACACAAAACCTAGTTTGGGTCACTAGGGTAAAATGTAGCCAGGAATTTATACAGATAGAGGAGGCAGGCTCCAGAATCTGGCTTACTGTCCAGTCAGAACTGGGAAAAGCCAGACCAAGGTTGTAGACAGCTAGTCAGTCCATTTTCTTTTTTTCACAGGAGACTAAAGCTGAGCTGTCAACTATACTACAAAGAGTACTGCCCCTGCCTAAATTCAGGCCCCAACTTATAATCAAAGATCATTCCTAGGCAGCACAATGGTCAAACAGTCAAAGTAACAGTTAAAGCAAGTGGTGCCAGGGGAAGTTTAAATTTATAAAAGAAACTTCCAAGCCCTTTATTACTTTTATCAGACCTGAGGATCAGGCAGACACCAACTCTGACAATAGCAAACAGGCAAGGGATTAACTAAAGCTGAGCTTCAGCAGGGCCTGCAAGCTCCTGGTGGAGAGCTATAGGGGTTCATTTCATAGGCCATTAGGAAAGACCTCATTTCAGTCCTCAGTTCTACCTATGGCTTAAGCCTAAGCAAGTTTTCACTCGGGTTGCAATTTTGCTGAGGACAGGCTGCTTCTTTTAAGTTCAAATCTTATTCTAAGTCAAAAGTGCATAGTACTGGGGCTGGTGAGATGGCTCAGTGGTCTAAAGCACCTACTTAGAACAAGCTAAGCTAAGCAAAACACAGGGACCACAGTTCAATCCCCCAGCACCACATGCCAGCCAGCCCTGCCCCCTGGTGGGCTGAACTGGCCGCATAGTACTGCTATCATTTACTTTTTCCTGACCTACTGTGATCAGAGAACATAAAAATCCAGATTTGGAGCCTTTAGAGCTTTCAAATCCCTAAAGTAGGCAAGCAGATGTTCCAACACTCAAGAGCACAGCTAGTAAACACATCTCACCTGGACTGTGGGACTGTCTTATCCACAAACAGGAAGATTGCCTTTTCAGAAGGAAGCTGGATCCTTTTCCTGATGATCCACATAAACTGAGCCACAGTGATGTCAGATGGAACCAAGTACTTCCGTTTGTCAATGTCAACAATCTGGGAGCCTGAGACCTTTTCCACAATCACCTGGAAAAGGAAAGAGAGATCAGGCATGGATTTCCTGCAGTGAGAGGTTCTAGTCCCACACAGGAAATTGATGGACAAAGTGTGGGCAAGTAGGTGGGTGGGCAACTGCATAGCATGAGAAAACTTTAAATTTAGCACAGGGTCTACAGGGTCTCACTACACAGATCAGACTTGTAATGATCCTCTTGTTTTCAGCCTGCCAGGCACTGGGATTACAGGCGTCTTCCACCATGCCCAGTCTCAATAATCATCCGGCTCAGCATGCCCTGAGGGTAGGGGTGGGGCCAGCACAGTCCTTAAGTAGGCATTTTAATCCCTGAGCTATCTGGCTGACCCTAGCATGAGAAAACTTGCCCATGGCTTTTTAAGCCACACACTCAGGAGGCTAGAATTGATATAAATGTATAATAGAGAAAGTGTAAATGCTTTTCTGTGGTCAGTTGTCTCTCTCATCTCTCAGCACCTAAAAGAGAGATACTATTAAGCATTTCAACATTTTATCTGGACAGCTGGGCGTGGCAGTACGTGTCTATAATTCCAGCACTCAACTCTCAGGCAGGAAGATCACCTCACCTCGGGTCTGAGGCCAGCCTGTGCTACATAGTGAGTTCAAGACTAGCCTAAACACTTAATGAGACTCTGTCTTAAAGAAAAAAGTCATTTTTTCTGAGCAGACACAAGAATATGTGGGTTTCATCTGTTAGTCCAGACCCCAGAATGGACCCACACTACTAGAGATTAAGATTCCAAGAAACACAAAAACTATTTCCCGCATCAAAAAGGAAGATAAGATCAGATTCACTGATTAAAGGGAAAAAGGGGTTATCAGAGGCTTTTCAGATCTTTTTTGATAAGACAAGGTGACAGCCTCACGTTGAGGAAAGCTATAAGTTAGATACAAAGATGAAGAGAAAAGTACCACTTACAAGACCTAAGTGTCAGTCTCCCTCCACCGCCGTTCCCCAAAGTGGCAGTGAACTGTTACCCTGTCCTAGAACATCGTTCCTTATATAATTGGCGAGGGAGCCCAGAGGCAGCAGGCAGCTCGCTGGCCTAGATCGGGAGATTCAGCACTGGGGCACCCGAACAGCACCAGCCACAGCCCGTCACGGCCCGGCCCGCGCCGGCCCCTAACCAAACCCACTCGTCTGCCTCGTCTGCCTCGTCTGCCAGTGTAACTGGGCCTGGAACCCCAGAGTCAACTGTTGAATGATACAGGGCCCTATCACCGGTCCTAGACGACAGAGGTGACAGTGGGGTGAGGGGGCGGGAGTCCAAACACTCACCGGAACTCGATCGGGATATTTTGCTCGGATCTTCGCGGATTCTACGCATCTGTGTTCTGTGAGAGAAACACATTGGGCTGATAGTCGCGCCTGCCAGGCGGCAGGTTCTCCAATCCCTGGCTCCTAGCCCTCTTCCCCGCTGCGAGCTGCGCACACTGCGAGTTCTCGATCGGGCGTACACTCAGTCGCTGTCCCACGTCCCCTCGGTCCCGAAAGACCCGTGGAAGGCGGCAACAAGTCAGCGCACGTCCACCTGAGACGGTGGGACCGCGGCAGCCGAAGCCCAGAGCGCAGCATCCGCCCCGACCTACCCGGCCCAGATCGGCCCGAGTGGGGGAGGGGGCCCACCCGCCGCTCGAGCCCCCTCATCCCGTCAGCAGTCTAGCACATACCCAGTGAGTGGTCCTCCTTGAACATCCACTTCATGGCGGCGAGGGAGGGGAACCGAGCCGGCTCTTTGAGCCGTGAAGTTCAGCGAGCCGACCACAACAACAACAGCGGCGACGGTGGAGACTGAGAAGACTACACGACAGGCGGGACTTCCGGCTGCCCAAGCCTAGCAACTGGCTGGGGGCGTGGCTTCCGGCGCCGCGCGCGCCGGCGTCCGGCCAGGGGGTGGGGCTGCACGTTAAGGGGTGTGGCTTTCCGGTGGCGCTCGCCGGCGTGTTGCGTCAGGGGGTGGCGCCACACGCGAAGCGGAGGAGCCTGGGTGCCACGCGAGGAACCACACGGCTGCGAGTGAGGCTGGTGAAATTGGTTAGAGGTGAGTCTGTGAGCGATGCTGTCGACTTGGGGAAGGGACTTAGAAGAACTAGTGACGAAGTGGGTTTAAGGACTTGCGGGGGGCCGAAAATGTAGGATATATTTCGTAAGAGAAGTACGCGGCGTTGACAGGATATTTGAGATGTGAGTGACCGAAGAGGGGTTCCTAGCGGTTGGCATTGGCAGAGGGCGCGCTTTAGGGCTTTGATAACTTGGGGAATGTTGTTTAAGGTGGGGGGACCAGCTGCAGGCTCTATATTGCGGGAGACTAATTTGCGCGCCTTGTGGGGGAGGGGTACTGGTAACAACCCGGAAGTCTGGAGACCGCCATGATAGATTACCTTGCATCGAGAAGTTCTCTCTTTTTTTTTTTCTTTCGGTCTTTTTTGAGACACGGTTTTGCTGTGTAGTTCAGGCTGGCTTGAAGTCACTTTGTAGCCCGCGCTGGTCTCGAACTCTCAGTGGTTTCCTGCCTCAGCCTCCCGAGTGCTAGAATTACAGGCGTGCACTGCCATGCCTGGCTAGGAATTCTTTTAAACAAATCCCATTTCCATCCTTTATTCCAGAATCAGTTTTTTGAGGGAATTTGCTTTATTTTGGGGTTTTTTTAGTATTACATTTTTCGTGGTGAGGAAGTGTACAAATTCTTTATATACCCCACCGTGAATAAACATTTAAAAAGAAATCACATATGTTTTTGAAGAAGACAGAGACTGCTTGTCCTTAATTCAGAGGCAGAAAATTGTGGTCATTAGGTCCAGAGAATTCCCCCCGAGAGCTCGTCATGAGACAGATTTCCTTGTCTGGCGGTCGGAATAGTGCTGCAATCACTGCCTGGTTCCTGTGTTTGTCACCTGCCCTGGCCTATATCTGGAGGTTGTCCAATCAGTGATGTAGATTCTTTCTTGCAAAAGCAGAGTCACCAATCTGGTCTGGGTTGCAATCTGTTTATGGGCTGGTGAACATGTAACAAGAATATTCACTTAATTAGGCACATGACTCCTGCCGTGTGTGTTTCTGATACATCTATCAGGCCTTATGTCTGAATGTTGTCATACATTCAGACAGTTGAAATTCTTTGTCAGTGTTTTGGAATCTAACTTCATTCTATGAGTATTTTTGTTATTTTAAGGTTGTATGCCATAGCCAGGTGTAGTGACACAAACCTGTAATCCTAGTTCTTGGGAGGCTGAAGCAGGAGTATCATTTTCTAGGAGACCAGCCTGGGCAAAAGAGTGGGGCCAATTAATGAGTGAGAATCAAGTTTGGTATTAAATACATTAAGTATAAGGTGTCCAAAAGACACATCTAAGCTGTGCAGTAAGGTGAATGGCTCTGTAAGTCTTACTTTCAAGAGAAAAGCAGTTAAAGCTATTAAACTGAGATTTAGCTAGATGATGGGGAAAAAAAGGCAAATACCCTTTCAGAATCCGGGGAGGAGTTAGAAATTGGACTTAGGGCTGGGGTGAACTCAGTTGATAGGGTGCTCCTATCAACTGGAACAGGGCCCCAGTGTCAATCCTCAAAACTGGAGGGATTGTAGAAGAGAGTGGGGAAAAGAGACATAATAAATTGGACTCAGTTCTGCTTCCCAAGCTGGACGCAGTGGTGCACACCTGTAATCCCAGCACTGGGGAAGATAAGGCAGGAAGATCCGCTGCAAGTTTGAGGCCAGCCTGGGCTGCTTAGCAAAACCCTGTCTTAATATGACCACACACACATAGCCACAAACACTGGGATAGGACAAGGAAATTTATAAAGTAAATGTTGAGACATTGGGAAGCCTTGAAGCCAGCATTCATGAGTTGTAGATTTACTTGAGAATTCTCAAAATTCCTGGCAGGAGACTGAATATTAAATTGTGTAGTTTTTTTTTTTTTTTTTTTTTAATTTATTTATGTGTGTGTGTGTGGCCAGCTTAGCCCACCAGGGGGCGGGGGGGCTGGCATGTGGTGCTGGGGGATTGAACTGCGGACCCTGTGCTTTACCAAGCTTGTTCTAAGTAGGTGCTTTAGACCACTGAACCATCTCACCAGCCCCTAAATTGTGTAGTTTTAACAGAATGATTTTCTTGTGCTTTTTGTTCCAGCTCAGCCATGGCTCGTGGTCCCAAGAAGCATCTGAAGCGAGTAGCAGCTCCAAAACATTGGATGCTGGATAAATTGACCGGTGTGTTTGCTCCTCGTCCATCCACCGGTCCTCATAAGCTGAGAGAATGTCTGCCTCTCATCATCTTCCTACGGAACAGACTCAAGTATGCTC